AAACCACTCTTTGCCACCATATTGAAGAAGCACAATGTTATTTGTTTCGGGAAGATGCTCGTAGATTCATTTTGGAATATGCTGCAAACAGAAGAAAAAACTATTAGTAATAACTTTTAACCCTAAACTATAAAGCACAAAGCCACACTGCCGGAGGCATCAAAAATATACCGATGCATATATTTATCTGGAGTTAAGGCATAAAAAATAATAGTAAGAAATTCATTTAGCCCGAAATCATAAGTACTTCAAATGTTGGATTATGCTCTTCCTCGTTATCATCAGAAAAGGAGTAAGATAGAGATCGTTTGGCACAGCAGGGAGAAGAGTCCATAGTTGGTTTTCTAGGGTTTTTATAAGAGTGTGTGTTTATGTCTTTGGAGTTGTGTGGGTGAATGTGTATATATACACGGCCAACTGTTCAAAAGGGCATATTTGACCATAAAGTTTAGTAAAATGTAGATTTGGGACCTAATTAAAATGTGAATTTTGAATATTTAGTCACAATGTTCATTTTGACCTCAATTGTTAAATTATTTAATTCAAACCATAATAATAAGTAGATATTAATAGTAACCATATAAATCAATTGACTAAGGTTGTAGTCATATAACCTATGTTAATTACATCGTTGCGATTCATAATTATATTGATCGTTTATGTAATAGCCAATATATAATTTCATTCATTAAGGTCATACGTATCGGCCATTAGTTATTCATAGCAACAGTATAAGTCAATTGACTAAAGTTGTAGTCATATACTACGCTAATATTAATTACATCATTGCGATTCATAGTTATATTAATCGTTTATGTAATAGCCAATATATAATTTAATTCATTAAGGTCATACGTATCGGCCACTAGTTATTCATAGTCCCTGTGTAATGTTCATTTTGACCTCAATTGTTAAATTATTTAATTCAAACCATAATAATAAGTAGATATTAATAGTAACCATATAAATCCATTGACTAAGGTTGTAGTCATATAACCTATATTAATTATATCGTTGCGCTTCATAGTTATATTGACCGTTTATATAATAGCTAATATATAATTTCATTCATTAAGGTTATACGTATCAGCGGCCACTAGTTATTCATAGTCCCCATGTAATGTTCATTTTGACCTCAATTGTTAAATTATTTAATTCAAACCATAATAATAAGTAGATATTAATAGTAACCATATAAATCCATTGACTAAAGTTGTAGTCATATAACCTATATTATTTATATCGTTGCGCTTCATAGTTATATTGACCGTTGATATAATAGCTAGTATATAATTTCATTCATTAAGGTCATACGTATCGGCCATTACTTATTCATAACAATAATATAAGTCCATTGGCTAAGGTTGTAGTCATATAACCTATATTATTTATATCGTTGCGCTTCATAGTTATATTGACCGTTGATATAATAGCTAGTATATAATTTCATTCATTAAGGTTATACGTATCAGCGGCCACTAGTTATTCATAGTCCCCATGTAATGTTCATTTTGACCTCAATTGTTAAATTATTTAATTCAAACCATAATAATAAGTAGATATTAATAGTAACCATATAAATCCATTGACTAAAGTTGTAGTCATATAACCTATATTATTTATATCGTTGCGCTTCATAGTTATATTGACCGTTTATATAATAGCTAATATATAATTTCATTCATTAAGGTCATACGTATCGGCGGTCACTAGTTATTCATAGTCCCTATGTGATGTTCATTTTGACCTCAATTTGTTAAATTATTTAATTCAAACCTTAATAATAAGTAGATATTAATAGTAACCATCTAAATCCATTAACTAAGGTTGTAGTCATATAACCTATGTTAATTATATCGTTGCGATTCATAGTTATATTGATCGTTTATGTAATAGCCAATATATAATTTCATTCATTAAGGTCATATGTATCGGCCATTAGTTATTCATAGCAACAATATAAGTCCATTGACTAAGGTTGTAGTCATATACTGCGCTAAAGTTAATTACATCATTGCGATTCATAGTTATATTGATCGTTTGTGTCATAGCCAATATATAATTTCATTCATTAAGGTCATACGTATTGGCCACTAGTTATTCATAGTCCATGTGTAATGTTCATTTTGACCTCAGTTGTTAAATTATTTAATTCAAACCATAATAATAAGTAGATATTAATAGTAACCATATAAATCCATTGACTAAGGTTGTAGTCATATAACCTATGTTAATTATATCGTTGGCCTTCATAGTTATATTGACCACTTTAATAGTTAATATATAATTTTATTCATTAAGGTCATACGTATCGGCCACTAGTTATTCGTAGTCCCTATGTAATGTTCATTTTGACCTCAATTGTTAAATTATTTAATTCAAACAATAATAATAAGTAGATATTAATAGTAACCATATAAATCCATTGACTAAGGTTGTAGTCATATAACCTATGTTAATTATATCGTTGCGATTCATAGTTATATTAATCGTTTATGTAATAGCCAATATATAATTTTATTCATTAAGGTCATCCGTATCCGCCATTAGTTATTCATAACAATAATATAAGTCCATTGGCTAAGGTTGTAGTCATATACTACGATAGTATTAATTACATCGTTGCGATTCATAGTTATATTGATCGTTTATGTAATAGCCAGTATATAATTTCATTCATTAATGTCGTACGTATCGGGCACTAGTTATTCATAGTCCATGTGTACTGTTCATTTTGACCTCAGTTGTTAAATTATTTAATTCAAACCATAATAATAAGTAGATATTAATAGTAACCATATAAATCCATTGACTAAGGTTGTAGTCATATAACCTATGTTAATTATATCGTTGCGATTCATAGTTATATTAATCGTTTATGTAATAGCCAATATATAATTTTATTCATTAAGGTCATCCGTATCCGCCATTAGTTATTCATAACAATAATATAAGTCCATTGACTAAGGTTGTAGTCATATACTACGATAGTGTTAATTACATCGTTGCGATTCATAGTTATATTGATTGTTTATGTAATAGCCAGTATATAATTTCATTCATTAAGGTCATACGTATCGGCCATTAGTTATTTATAGTCCCTATGTAATGTTCATTTTGACCTCAATTATTAAATTATTTAATTCAAACCTTAATAATAAGTAGATATTAATAGTAACATATAAATCTATTGACTAAGGTTGTAGTCATATAACCTATGTTAATTACATCGTTGCGATTCATAGTTATATTAATCGTTTATGTAATAGCCAATATATAATTTCATTCATTAAGGTCATACGTATCCGCCATTAGTTATTCATAACAATAATATAAGTCCATTGACTAAGGTTGTAGTCATATACTACGATAGTGTTAATTATATCGTTGCGATTCATAGTTATATTGATCGTTTATGTAATAGCCAGTATATAATTTCATTCTTTAAGGTCTTACGTATCGGCCATTAGTTATTCATAGTCCCTGTGTAATGTTCATTTTGACCTCAATTGTTAAAGTATTTAATTCAAACCATAATAATAAGTAGATATTAATAGTAAAATATAAATCAATTGACTAAGGTTGTAGTCATATAACCTATGTTAATTACATCGTTGCGATTCATAGTTATATTAATCGTTTATGTAATAGCCTATATATAATTTCATTCATTAAGGTCATACGTATCGGCCATTAGTTATTCATAACAATAATATAAGTCCATTGGCTAAGGTTGTAGTCATATACTACGATAGTGTTAATTACATCGTTGCGATTCATAGTTATATTAATCGTTTATGTAATAGCCTATATATAATTTCATTCATTAAGGTCATACGTATCGGCCATTAGTTATTCATAACAATAATATAAGTCCATTGGCTAAGGTTGTAGTCATATACTACGATAGTGTTAATTACATCGTTGCGATTCAAAGTTATATTGATATTTGCTGTTGAAGTGCTAGGAACATCTAATGCTTAGCTTTTTTGATTTTTTCATTAAGGTCATGTAGTGACTGTGTTCTACCATTGTCATTAAAATATTTATGGATTAATATAATTTTCTTAAAATATTGTGTTATTTTTCCTTGTATTATTGTTATACTTATTTTTCCTTGTATTATTGATTATTTTTCCTTGTATTATTATTATACTTATTTTTCCTTATATTATTGATAAGGAGGAAGTATTGATACTACTAAATCTAGTGAATTCAAATTTTCTTCCTCCTACTAAATCGTATACCGTATTTGTTTAAAGAAAATACAATAATTGGCTATACACATAAAATACAATAGAAATACAATATGATGTAAAGACTACATGAATGATTTCACGCAGCTCAATACTTGGGAGTAGAAAGAACCTCTCCATATTTAATTTTCTGTTTTGAAGGGAAAATTGTATGGCTAAATAATTAGGAGGTAGTTGATGTAATTTCACCCGTGTGGCCACAGTTGGGCCACATTAGTGTGGTCGTTTAGATTTAACATTTGCACTTTGGAGAATGTGATGGCAACCACCCTCCACTTCCAACTAAGAGGTTGTGAGTTCGAGTCACCCCAAGAGCAAGGTGGAGAGTTCTTGGAGGGAAGGATGCCGATGGTCATTTGGAAACAGCCTCTTTATCCCAGAGTAGGGGTAAGGTCTGCGTACACACTACCCTCCCCAGACCCCACTAATGGAATTATACTGGGTTGTTGTTGTTGTTGTAGTACTTTGGAGAATGTGGAAAGTGGAAACCATGATGTTGTTTTTGACAAAATCTTTAGACTTAGATCTAAAATAGAGAAACGTGATTAATAATCCTAACCTAACATATTTAAAATTAATTACCTTTTCCACTTTGTACACGCCCGTGTTAACTTTACATATTATTATTTCTACTTGTTGTCACCTTTTTCTTGTTTTTTCATCCACTTGTTGTAAACTACTTCTGAAATAGTAACACTAGTCCAATTTCATGTGCATATATAGATGAGCTACTAGCTATTCTGTAAAACACAAAAAACTTTAGCTCGAGAGAGAACGAATAAGATAAGATCGCGAGAATGAGTAGAGGGTGGGTAATTTTCATGTTCCTGATTGCTGCAATTGTACTTTGCAGTCATCATACAGTGGCGGTAGAAAATACCGCCATCTATTCGCAGGCACGCACTACCTTGCCTAATTGCAGTAACAGCGATAAATCGAAAATAAATAAGTGTATGACAAATACAACCTCTATAGATAAATGTTGTCCATTATTTAAGAGGACAATTGGTACTAACTGTAAGTGTTACCGTTATGCCAAGGATTTGGATAATCAAGCTTTAATTACTCTTCAGGCTTATTGTGATGTCAATAATCCATGTAAGCGTGTCCAAGTAAGTTCTTTCTTATCTCTACTTCACATAAAAGTATTTAGCTAGTGTTTGAATATAAATTTGGTTAAAAATTTTACTTGCAGAGAGTGGTAGCAGAGGCCGTTGCCACCATTTCTGCCACCCCCCGCCCGCTCCCTCGGCTACAGCCAAAATGCAGTGCTACTGATGAAGCAAAGGTTAAAAAATGCATGACAAACACAACCTCCATGGATGCATGTTGCCCAACATTCAGAAGCATATTGGGCAGGAGTTGCCCTTGCTTTGCTTATGCCATGCTATTAGATAATCTGGCTTTGATTACTATTCAGGCTTATTGTGATGTTAGTAATCCTTGTAAGCAAGTCCAAGTAAGTCTTATCCCTTTTTAATACTCCATTTTATATGGTGCTCGTTTCTTTTGCCTGCTAAATTTCTACCTACAATAAACTGTGAACCTTATAGAAGACGAGTTGTGGTTGGCTTTGTCATAAGTACTAAATTGCTTGAACCTATAAAATTTAAATTTTAACTGATGCTAGTTAAATAACACCGTGCAAATTTGAGACATTAACTAATATTTTTTATTACAAGCTCTTTCAAGTAAGTCGTTCATTTTTCCTTGTGTTATTGTGAGCTATCTCACCTACCGACATCCTACCTTGTACTTTGTGCACCAAATTTACTAACTACTTTTTCCCCTTTCCCTACAAAAAGAAGGGTGTGATAAATACCTGTGGGATCAACTTTAATTGATTTCTTTTTAGCTATTTCATACATATTAATGAATTTCATGACAATTTTAGAAAAAAGAAGTTAATTTTGTTTTTATATCCGTAAAATATCAACTATTGTGGACCAAAAAGAAAAGGCCAAAAAATCAATTAAAGTGGACATAGTAGTAACTAGCTATCCACTTCTGTGTCACTGCCTAATTCTGTGGTTAATTTGCTGGTTTCAGGTGATATGATCGAGCTAGCAAAGATGGAGATGGAAGAAAATAACAATAATGAAACTCATTTCAAGAGAGAAGAAATGTTGTATTGTTATATCAATAAGACTTTTAGCAATAACTTGTCGTTATTTTGATAGCATCATTTTGCATACCATTGACCTCAAGTTGGCCTGCACCCTTCCATTATAGTAAGACAAAAAAAAGACACTCCTTTCAAGGATAGGATTTGGTGCAACGCAATAGATCTTCACGAATAGGTATCCATTGCAGCGCAAGAAAATTCACTATGTTGCGACATGAAAAGATTTTAGGGATAATCTCCACCAAATTAAAGAATCGTTGTATGAAAAATCAAAATAAGAGGGGTAAACGCGTAATATTATGAACCACAACAGGGTCAGTATGATGGAAGAGAAATTTGGAGGCAGGTCTAAATTATTAATTATCCCTAAAATCTAAGAAGAAGCTACCCAAATTAATATTACGAGAACTAACTTATGTCCACCAAATTTCCTTACCAACAAACATGTGCAATAAACAAAGAGTGGAGAAGAGGTCAACACAATTGAGAAAAACGCAACAAAGTGAAGAAAGTTTAATTTGAAAAGAAACCAGATGTAAAGGCCAAAAGAGGAGCAAAAGAAATGAACACTATATACGATATTAATAGTTTTTCATTACCACAAATAATAATAGAGATATAGGAAGGCTGACAAAGGTATAAGGAGATTTGATCTCCACATAAAATTAATATTAACTTATATAAAAATACAACCATTATATTATGCAAGAATTTATATATTAATTTACGCTCATGGAATGTTAAATTAAAATGCGTGTATTACTTAATACATGAGTTAAAAACACTAAAATAACAAACCTAACTCTTATAATAGCAAAAAAGACTTCTTATTTTGTTTTAAAAGTAAACACATTTGTATACTAATTTAATTTTGTAATATATCAAACTTAAATGTTCAACAAAAGATAAAGATAATCTTTATATTACTAATTTCTATATAACTTGTGAAAGTACAAGAGGGGGTGAATTGAAGCCTTTTTAAATTTCTAGTAGACTACTCCCCAGACCTAGTAGACTAATAGAGAGACAGCATGTACAATACTGTTAATACTTCGATTTGATCAAATACTTATCTCAATAAATAGTAAATCCTTATAATAAAATATGAAAAAGGTAAATGATACATGAATTTTATACTGATTCGTAACCAATAGTGGTATCCTACTCTAGTTTTCTTGGGTTGTAAGGAGGTTATCTCTTTAGTTTTTTTTGTAATATGAGTATCCCAAGGAGGTTCTCATTAGTTTTTTGTAATATGAGTTTGAGTACAACTTGTGATTTTCAACGTTCACCACTAACGTTTTACAAGGTTAATTTTCACTCGCTCACCAACAACGCAAAAGGTTGGTTTTTGCTCGTTCACTAACGACTCTTTGGTTTTCACTCGCTCACCAGAGAAACGAAGAATGACACAACCCTCTAAGGACACACTGCCTCTCCCATATTTTTTTATCTCTCTTCACTCTTTTGTGTACACAGTAAATCTACTAAAAGTGAATTACAATGTTCGTTAAGAGTAGAATAAAGAACTTGTAGTTGGATAGACAATTGTATAGAAGGCTGCATACTTTTCTTCCTCCATAAATCTTCCCTTTTATAGTCTTTTCAACTTGTTTTCTTTATTGCATAACCCAAGGGATTTTGAATATTCTTCCAATCTTCCTGAAGCCGTTTTCTGATGCTTCCTTGAATCTTGGACTAATATCTTGTTTTAGATCTCTTGACCGTTGCTGATTTGCTCTATAAGGTAGATTTTGGATATCTTTTAACAATGTAAATTTTCCTTTTGAATTGGACAATTTGAATTTCTCAATTTTAATTCTTTTCTCGAACAGATCCATGATTAGTATTTCTCTACAACATTCCTCTCAAAATTGCTTTCCTTTGTGGAGTCTCACTTTTGTTGCTTAGTGATCCTTTGTGGACTCCAACTATTGTACATTAGTTGTACCAATTGTGAATATAAAATACTCTTCCATTTCGGTACACCATATAATCTTTATGAATATCTACATGAGAATAGTCATGATGATTCAATCAAGATCCCCATGATCCTTTTCCATGATTGTAGTAATTAATCATCCTTGATTAATTCCAATAACGCAATTCCTTGGCCTCATGTTTCCATACGTCTAACTTCTCTTACATTGGAGAATATGGATGCTTCTTTCCATTTTGTAGTTTTATTCATAAGAATAATACTCTTTCTAGAGATAGAATTCAAACATGTTCTCATGAATAAACCTGTAACGAGTCGGCCAGTCATTTTATGTATTACAGCCCCGTTCTCCCGTTCACTACTCAATTTATACTTTATAATTATTGTATGACTTGCCGGATTAATGGATCCGGGTCCGGGTCCGGTGAGGTTTTGAAATGAATTAAGACACTTAGTCTCCAAGATAAAAACTTAAGTTGAAAAAATTGACCGGATATTGACTTATGTGTAAACGACCCCGGAACAGAGTTTTGATGGTTCCAATAGCTCTGTATGGTGATTTTAGACTTAGGAGCATGTCCGAAAAATTATTTGGAAGTCCGTAGTAAAATTACGCTTGAAATGACTAAAATAGAAATTTAAGTTTGGAAGTTTGACCAGGGAGTTGACTTTTTGATATCGGGGTCGGAATCCGATTCTGGAAAATTGAATAGGTCTGTTATGTCATTTATGACTTGTGTGCAAAATTTAAGGTCAATCGGACTTGAATTGATAGGTTTCGGCATCGAATATAGAAGTTAAAATTTTTTAGTTTCATTAAGCTTGAATTGGGGTATGATTCGTGGTTTTAACATTGTTGATGTGATCTGAGGGCTCGACTAACTTCGTATAATATTTTAGGACTTGTTGGTATATTTGGTTGAGGTCCCGGGGGCCTCAGGTGAGTTTCGGATGGTTAACGGATCAAATTCGGACTTAGAAGAAATCTGAAAATTTTCTGTCTTCTGGTGTGATCGCACCTGCGAGGAATTGGTCGCAGGTGTGATGCCATAGATGCGGCTCATTTTACGCAGAGGCAGGGCGCTTGTGCGAGGGGATTAACCGCATCTGCGAGTGATCTCGTCCAAGTCACACCTCTATTTGAGGTTATGAAACGGTCGATACAATAGTAATATTCAACAGAGAGTCGGGGTCGAATTCCACAAGGAGCTATATGAATGGGATTTAGAAGTATATATTGTGGTGAATGAGCTTGAACTATCTTAAATTACACTTCCACAAGATTTGGTTGCTTCTAGATCTAGTTTAAACTAAGATTGCAAGATAAATAATTAAAACTAAGAAAATATTTTTGTTGTTGCTTTCAAATAGTGTAAAAGCCTAGGCTATGCCCTTCACCTAGGTGTTTGCCTAATGGGTTGTAAACTGTAAAGCTTGTTTCATTGGTCGAGGTGTATTATAGTGTAAAAGGCCTAGGCTATACCCTTCACCTAGGTGTTTGCCTAATAGGTTGTAAACTGTAAAGCTTGTTTCATTGGTCGAGGTGTATTATAGCTATCAACACTCAAGTACCCACTCAATACCTCTCGGTAAGAGAGTGATTTTGTCAAATTTGGCTTTCTCAAGTCCAAATGGGTATTGAACAAAATAATTGATAAAATTCTCAAGTTGGGTTTTACTATCTGTAGGATTAACCCTGTAAATTGGGACTATCAGTCTCTTTATTTTATCCCAAATTCTCGTTAGCCAAGTTTTTCTAGACCAAGTCTCTCTTTCTCGAGAAGAGACCAAGTCAAATAGGCATGAACTAATGTTTGCAATCATTAATTCTACAATCAAAAGCAAGAACAAGGCTAAATAATAAAACCCAACCATAAACAAACCATAAATCAAACACCCATTAGGTTTACACACTAGGGTTGGGTCACAACCCTAGTTACAAATCTAGCTACTCATAATGGGTATAGAAGAAAATAAAGAAGAAAAGATGATGAAACTCATATTGCAAAATTAAAAGATAAAAACCTAATGTTAAATCACCAAAGTAAGGTAAAGTTACCTAAAGAGGCAAGTAAAAACGGCTACAGGACTTTCAATATTTCAAAATCTGACATAATTTTGTGAAACTAGTCTATTTATACAAAGCTGGAATTTTCGAAAAAAAATGCCCTTTCAAAGGTTCTGCGGCTGCACAATTCCATATGCGGTCCGAACTTCTCATCAGTCTTGACAGGAGTTGAATTTGCGGCCGCACAATTCTGGATTGCGGCCGCATCTCTCATATTCTGCGGTCCGCACAATTCTTGGTGCGGCCGCACATGGCTCTTCTGCGGATCACACATTTCTGAGTGCGGCCACGTAGATGATTTTGCACAATTATTGTGCGGTCCACATTTCTTTTTGAGCTTGAAATGAGACTTTCTGAACTTTAGCTCTCGCATAACTTCTGTGACTTGACAATAATTGTGTGGTCCGCACTTTGCACTTGGACTCTGTTAAATTTCCTTCATATTTTGCGCCCGCTGATGAAAATCTGCGGTCCGCACTTGAGCTTATGTGCCTGATTTTTGTCCTTGAGTTTAGATCACTCCTTTTTGAGTTGAATTTCATCTTAGTGGCTTATTTTCTAATACTCCTGCAATTAGACATATTTCATCAATTTTCGGAAATACAATTAAATACTTTTGGATTAAAACGAAAGCTAAAAAGCGCTAATAAGTAGTCAAAATCCCCATTTATCAACTCCCCAAACTTAAGCTTTTGCTTGTCCTCAAGCAAATAAGGTAATTCTCACCTCCACAAGATAAGAGCAATTCGAGCTAATCTAAGGTGTATCAAACACACATCAATTAGGACCAACAATTACCCACACCACTTATGAATTATCAACAAGGCAATGATTAGAAGTTTTAATCACAAATAGTTCTAATGTGACACTTGAGTATCAAGAGTTGACTTTATTTATCAAGGAAGTTCGCTCTTTCATGTAGGTCATTGTGGATCCCAAACTCCTCCTCTTCTACTCTCCATTTGCACCTCACTTAAGAATGTAGCACTCAATTCAAAGTTTTGTGAAAGGTTCGCTCATTTTTCTCAAAAGAATGTCGCAAGTACG